ATCAGACAAGCCTATGGACCAACATTTGAAACGGTCTTGCCAATGCCTTATACATTGTCTATGCTTAATAATTGTTAGTCTGTTTTTTGAAAAAAAAAAGACCATGCAAAAGAGACTCCGGCCTCTAGTACACTAAAGGAAAACAACATGAATGAACAAATCAAGACAAAATACTAACAAGGTATTACAAAGCATACTGAAAAAGGAAACATAACTACAATAAAAAATGTTTCTCTTGTGCGTAATTATGTGGGTAATTATCTTGCATATTTATGGAACCATTGGCAATTAGATTAAAACACTCTAGTTGGTTCCACTATGGCAAGAGTATTTTGCGAAAGGTTAACAATTAGCTAGTGTAATCTTCACTTAAAGTTCTTGTTTGGAACAGTAGACTTACTCTATAACTCTTATCAAAAGAAAGAACATCTTAAATTGAAGACAAATATATATAAGAAGAATTATGCCTCTTTTAAATAACTTTCCCTTATTTACCCTCAAGTAGTGGGTATCGACTTCTACATGTTTTTGCCCTTATTATGCATATTTCTTTTTCTTAGCATGCAGTTATCCTTTAGTTGCAGAGACGAGATTGGAATTTTGAAAAACACATCAACCTTCATCAATTGCTTTGGTTTGATGCGTTTGATCGTAGGTTCTTTCCTTGTATTCTTTTTATTCAAGTTAATTTATGAACTGATAATCAATATTTTGAAAGTTTGATTAGTTTTTAGATGATCAATTCTGATTATTTTTTAGTCAATTATTATTGATTAACATTTTAAGATAAAGCAATTCTATGTACAATTCCCACTTATTTTATGTTTTCTTGATTCTTGATATTTCTACAACTTCTATGAAATTTTATCCTTTTTTTTATATATTAATTCATATAATATTAAAGATTCACGGACTTACTCCCAGTGCCCAAAGATTCACGGACTTACGCCAGGGAAAACATTTCCATGCAAACCAAATTGGTTCAGAACTAACAACAACTAGCTAATTCCCCAATAATCTATGAAATTTAATTAATTGTAAATTCAATCAATTAAAAAAAACATCACACAAGTCAGTCCATCCTCTCCGTTCTGCATTTGGGTTCAAAGTTCAATCAATGTGGACTAAGTTTATACCAGTGACCTATAGTCATATAATTCCTAAAGCATACAGAAAAAAATCGGAGAACTGCAAGATTAACAAGCGATTAGGTGACCGGAAAGAGGAAGGCACAAATTAACTTTACCTAATCGAAATCCAGGAGGATCTGATCCACAATCCTCCATTGATGATGACTTGATCAGAAGACCGATGCGAGCTTCAGAGTATAGAGAGAAGATGAATGTGAATGAAAAATGAGAACCGAGAATGTTTGGTGTGAATATGATGGATTAGATTTGAATATTGCGGATTTTTACAACTCAATTAATTAGTTTAAGACTTGAGAGGGCTCGTCAAGTCAAGTAAAGTGGTGGGACATGTCAAGACCCAATTATATGCTGACATGTGTCACATGTAATAAGAGTCTGAGGCACCTCAAGTAGCAACATGACTTGTTGACGCGTGGCCCAAATAGAGAACCGTCCGATTCTCCACTCTCAGTTTCTTCCGGTTCACTGCTTTTTTCCGGTTTTATTATATTTTTCATATATACATGGTCCTACCTAACCTAATTCCTTGAATTGTATTTTGGACTGAAGTAATTGTTTCCACTATCAAAATGACTACGTCAAAGTAATATAAAGTAATAGAAAAGGTAAAATCTAAAGATTTCGTCATTTAAGGTTCAAATTCTCATTTTATTTTTATTTAAAATATTTTTTTATATTATCCAAACACGTTAATCCACTAATAAAAATTAACAAACAGATTAAAATAAATACTAATAAATTGAGGGCATGACAAAATCCAATGTGATGATTATTACTCAACGTTTCTTTCCTCGGTAAAGGTCCACGTTCGCTTTTGCATACAGATTTGTACTTGTCTGACAATTTTAACCTCCCAGTTGAAGTCTAACGGACACCTTTACCATGCTCTGCTCTAGGAGTGTCTCCGAGTTAACCGCTTCTTTTATCACTAAACAAATAATCACTCTTCCAGTTTCGGTGTATCACAGCTTTGATTATCGGAAAGATGAATCAGTTGCTGGTGAGGTCGGTTATGAGGCGGTTAGTTTCTGGCGGTACCTGTAACCGTTGCATATCGTCTGAGTCTGCGGCGGCGGCGGTAGTGTTCAGAGAAGTTCATAGGCCGAGTAGTGAGTCAGTTGTGATGATGAGTAGCCAGAGGCTGAGATTCTCTGGTCAGTGGTGGAGGATGATGTGCTCCACTAGTGAACCGCCATCGAAGAATTCAACGACGTCCTCTGCGGTGAGGAAGGAGGACGAGAAATTGAGTGGTGATTCTGTGGAGAAAATGGAAGGGGAAGACAAAGTAGCTCTTTCCAGCTATTGGGGAGTCTCCAGGCCAAAAATTACGAAAGAAGATGGCTCCGTGTGGCCTTGGAACTGCTTCATGGTATGTGAATTATTTTATCAGTATGGGTACACATAGCAGGCAATAATTCGGAGGTTCTTCTAGATAGAGCTTTAATTTCCTGGTATTAAAGCTGGATGACTACTGCTTTCTTTCTGCCTGCTTTTCATGTCTGTTTACTCTGTTTCAATTACTGGTTTATGTCTTGGTGGAATGCATCACTGGTTGGTGACACACTGACACTACATAGTCGATATGGACATTGTTAAATTAGGTCTTAGGCCTAACTCGCACCCCAAAAGCTAGCTCAAAGGGAGGAGGATTTCCCAAGCCTTATAAGGAGTCTACTCATCTCATTAACCACCGATGTGTGACTTTTGTCATTCTTTAACAGACATCGAACACCCGCACAGCCAAGACTAGACATTTGGAGTATGGACAATATAACTTGGGGTCTAACATCGGTAAACTAAGAGTTGTGACTTGTGTGACTCTTGATACCAGGATAAAAATGGACCTTCAGTCTACCTCAATCCCAAAACCTAGCAGCTAAATTTGTGGGCTTCTGATATTATTTACTCTTTGAGGGTTGGAGTAAGATAATCTTATTAAGATTTCAATGTTGGGTGACGTTTCAGTAGTAGTACAGCACTGTTGTAGCTGGAGCTGTTTCATTCTTCTTTTGTCTATTCTGATCTTTATATGGAGATTATTTAGGGAATCTTGCACATGTTAATTGAAGCTTTCTTGTGATCTTTTTCTTTTTTTCTTTGTCCCTGGTTTAAGAGGTCTTTTTTTACTTGCTCAAAAAGAAAAAGGAAGTCTTTTTTTTATTATTAATTTATATATATATATTCTGTTACCGCTTGTAGCCATGGGAGACATATCAGGCTGACTTGTCGATCGATCTAAGCAAGCACCATGTGCCCAAGACATTCCTTGATAAGGTTGCTTATTGGACGGTGAAACTTCTCAGGATTCCAACTGATTTATTTTTTAAGGTTTGCTTTCCACTCACCTTTGCAGGGAATATGTTGTCCAATCAAATTTAAAATGGCTATTTTGTATTATTTCTTTAGAAACCATGCTCTCCTATGTCGTCTTGGTCTCGATTTCGCCATGAGGTTCATACTACTCGACTGCTTGTACCCGCAATTTTTTTGGTGAATAGAAATGCTAAGAAATGGATTCTGTTTCTGCTAGTTCTTCGGTTTCTTCATAAATGTAACCAAAGTGATCAACGTATGTGATGACATCTTTTACATCATCCTTCCCTAGTGGTACATCTTTTAGCGAGAGGAAACACATGCCAAAATCACAACAGTTATTTCTTCATGGACTACCTAAGAGTAATGGAAATATGTGTAAACAGAAAAACTCCTCTGCCGTGGACACTACAACATTAATCCTTGAGTTGTTTTTTATATAAAATACATTATTGTTACCATTGATTCTAATCTCTGATTTCTATCGCAGAAAAAATATGGTTGTCGTGCAATGATGTTGGAAACAGTGGCAGGTGTACCTGGAATGGTGGGAGGTATGCTGTTACATCTGAGGTCGTTGCGCAAGTTCGAGCAAAGTGGTGGTTGGATAAAAGCATTACTTGAAGAAGCTGAGAATGAGAGAATGCATCTGATGACTATGGTGGAGCTAGTACAACCTAAATGGTACGAGAGGTTGTTAGTTATTGCTGTGCAGGGAGTCTTTTTCAATTTTTACTTTGTGCTTTACTTGCTGTCCCCCAAGCTTGCACACAGAGTTGTCGGTTATCTGGAAGAGGAGGCTATACACTCTTATACATTGTATCTTAATGATATTGATCGTGGTGAAATTGAAAATGTTCCTGCTCCTGCAATAGCAATTGACTACTGGAGACTGCCTAAGGATGCAACTCTAAAGGATGTTATTACTGTCATCCGTGCTGATGAAGCTCATCATAGAGATGTTAACCATTTCGCATCTGTAAGAATCTTCTGTTTTCGTAGATCAATCTTAAACATCATTGCAAATTTCCACATTTTGAGCTGGCAATTTTATCTACGGTTTGCATTGTGTGCAAAAGTTATTAATGCAACTGATTTAGTTATTGCTCATGCTATTCAGGATATCCATTATCAAGGAAAGAAATTGCAGGAGGCAGCTGCTCCTATTGGTTACCATTAAATCTTCATATTGGTCTGCTTTGCATAGTGTTTTTTTTTTGTGTGTCTATATATATATATATATATATTGTAGACCATGGTCCAATCAAAACAAGTAGGGTCTCAGTGGGGCATTTCTAATTAGTCATGAAATCCCCAAATAGCAAATAGTAGCATAAGTATGGATTAAACTACTGTTCTATCCTCTGCATAGTTGTATTTATGATAAATGCTTTTGCTCTTCAAATTTTGTAATCTTAATAGGAATGCAAATGATTCCTAATCCAAAAAAAATTATTTAATGGATTTCTTTTATGACACGCATGCTGGGAAACCTATATCTCCAGAAATTCACAGAAAAATGGCAGGATCTCCAAAATTCTACGAATGGCACGTAAAGTTCTTCTAAAGCAGAAAGGCAATTAAATCACTCAGGTAACTTGCCTGTACGAGATATATGGTCCAGTGTGCATCTTAAACCATAACGTTCAACTGCCCATTTTGCTTCTCTAAATCCATGACCATATGCCTCGGAATGGTTTTTTTCAATTCCGTCTTTCAGAAACTCTTTCAGATTTCTCAAGAACTGAGCTTTTTCACTTGTACCTTTTATGTTTTCATCACCAGTAAAAGATTGCCATTCTAGCCACTTGTGAGCTATAACTTCACAAATACCTTCTGCGATGTTTAGGGACAGCCGCTCATACCCTATATATCATAGAGAAAAAGACAGATTTATTAGGAATGCTGTTCACTAGTTTATTTTCCATTATATTTAGTTTAAATTAGACAAAACCAACTACATATTATTGTAGAAAGCTGGAAAGCACCTTCAATCTTCATCCAAGCGTGCATCATTTCATGAGCCAAAGTTGCTCCCAAGTCCAACCTGTTTACAAAGACCAGTTATGCATACCATAAAATTTAAGTGGGGAACTTGTTTCAATCTTACATATCCCCTCTTAAAGACTGGAAGCAAATTATCTTTGGAAAAAACATAGCATTTTTCTTAACTTCGATTAGTCAAAACACATCACTGACCAAAAATGGTAGAATATAGACATCATCAATCCCAATTTAGGTGACATAGTGGGATGAGTAACATGAAAGAACCTACTACTTAAGGCAAGAACAATAACTGTAAATGGTTGTAATATCCCATATTTTAAACAAGGACATATTAGTCATTAGCTAAAAAAAATCAAATGGTCCTTAGCCCATCAGAAACCTAATAAGGGAAAAATTAAATTAAGCTAAAGAAATTATTGGAGTTAAGAGTTTTGTCAGCAACTCTTGAAAAAAAAAAAAGGAAGAAAGAGTACGTTCTTGGAGTCTCTTCCTGTGAAGGAGCATGAAATCGATTAAAATAGAGAAAAATAACTAAATGGAGAAGAAGTGGAACTCTTGCCATTTCAAGTATGGATTTCAAGGTAAGTATCTTAACTTAGTTTAAAGATTGAATTTGTATATTCCCTGACTATAAATTTGAGAACTGAGAGTTTGAAAAACATGGGTTTAGAAGGAATAAAGGAATCCGTTAAACTCTTATTATCTTACGGTTTGAGAGAGTATGTTAAATGTTTGGACCAAACTTTTGTAGTTCGGCATAACCGAAGAAGAATTGCTGGACAGTGACATTAGTTTTGTTTATTATAGGGTGAAGTAATCAACAATGAGACTGTTTTGTGGGATCTGAAGCACCAATTTGATATAAATTGACAGATTGAGAGTCTATCATAAAACCTCAAAGATTGGGTATTCTGAATTTAGTATGAATTAGCCTAAACGAAGGAAGTATTACGAGACCAATATGATGTGATTATAGATTGATTGAAGGAAGTCATACAGATTGCCCAAGTGACAGATTTGGTACTTCAACACAAGTACTGTGAGTAGTAATCTTACCACAATTGATGTTTTATAACTTGCATGACTTTCACATGGTTTATAAAGTAAATGTGTTATCGAATGTTTTGAACTTGCATGTGGGACAAGTCTTTTACTGGATATGATACTGAAAAGATTATTTGAGATGATCTCATTCTTATAAGGTATGATTACTGATATTGAAAAGGTTTTACACTTATTTGAGAAATAGTATTTTGACAGGTGATTGTTAAACTTTGAAATGATATGATTTGATAAGAATTAAATGCTTTGTTCGATTTTGAATTGTTTTTACTTATTACAAGAAAAATATAAATGGGAGTAGACCTTGATGAATCCCGTAGCTAACGGCGGGTTCGTTAGACCTGGTGCACCTTGTAGTTCTAATTACTGATAAAGCCCTTGCTAGTGGGAAGGTAGAACTAGTATACTGTTACTGATATCCCTCGAGTAGGAATCTACTGATATGAATAATAAACTCTTTTATGAGGAGTTCATTGTTATTGGTTACTTCTTAAAGAGAAGGCCACACTGATTACATGATTCATCCTTGGATACCTCCCTGCTATAAGATTTGATATGAAAATGTTCTTTTTCTGAGTTTGTTATTAGGTATTTACATTGATTTTGCTTATATGAGGCACCTAAGATTGAATATTGTTATTGTTTCTGAAAGAGCATTGTTTCATCATTATGACTATTACACTAGCATGTTTTCTGACTTGTCCCTCATTAAAATAGTTGTGGTTAAGTATTATTACTCACTGAGCTAGCGTCTCACTCCTCGCTAATTGTTTTTACAGAGAATTCAGGTGGTATTGAAGAGGATCTCATTAACTAGAGTGTGAGTTGGTAGCATCTGGTGAGCAGTATATAGTTTGTAGATAAACCTATTGGGTATGCCTCATTGCATATAACAAGGCTCAAGACTTGTTCAAAACTGAAATTGCTTATTTGCTGATCCTAACTAGATGAAGATCATGAGATATATTTCCTATTTACTCTCCTAGAAATTACTGGATGACAATTGCTTGGAGTTATATACTAGATCCATCAAGGAGTATGTGAAAGTATTGAAGTTCATAAGAAGATTACTTTGGTAAGCCGTACAAAAGCAGCATTGCTTTCACTTTGCGTCCTTCAACCAGATGCTCTACTTCTTTCACCACTTTAACTTTTTCACCCTTCTGTATTGACCTTGACACCTAGCATGAGTGAATCGAATGCAACATGAGAGACTAGATGACTGCATACCATAGGCAAGAGAAGTCTATAATAGAAACCAATGTACTCACATAAGTTACGGCTTCCAATTCAGATTTATCATAGACAGTCAAGCCAAGTGATGTCTGTGAAACCAACCAAGCACTATTAATACTACAAAATGTGATGGAAGTAATAAAATTCCACTTGCTAATGTAAACACCTGTTCTGCCTACCTTTTGATCATTTTTTTTCATCTCTTTTTCATCAACTAACAGAATTGGAATGTAATATCGGATTTTCATGTTCATTCCTTTGAAAAATCTGTGTACTTCATCAAGAAGGGGCTTACAGACTCCAGGATCTGTCACTGCTGTATAATGACAATCAGGGCAAAGTTTCCGATCATCATTCAGAGTGATATACTTCAGGTCTCCTATCTACAAATAGGTAAGTAAGTTCTCAGTTAGCATATGTTATAAGCTGAGTAATTGTATGCCATCTGTTATCATTGAACGTAAAGCCAGTGTCTCAGCCAGAAAGCTCATTGTGTATATGTTTGCTATTCAGGAATATTCATCATACAATTGCTAGTGGTTGATTTCTTTAAAAAGATTATCTTGCATTTTCATTTTTAATAATTTTCTCATACTTATTGAATGGTTCCTGTTTAGCTCATTATCGACCTTCATTTTTTAGAGCATAGATTCAATCAGGAACATCTTCAATCTAACATTATAGAAGGGGTTTAAAAACCTTAAATCTTGAACAGCTGCAGCACTGAGGAGTTCCATCAGATGTATGCTTTTCACAGTAAGTTTGGCCCCAGTATGCACACCTTGACCAATCCGAGCGAATCTGTACCAAACATAAGTATCAGGTAAACTCATTCAGTTATTTTCTGATCATCTTCACAGTTACAACTTTCAAGGATAAATTATTTCAAGAAAGACTAAAGGGAAGGACATTGGAGGAAAGGGAACACAAACCTCTTCTTCACAAACATCACAAACAAGAATATTGCACCGCTTTCTACTCTTTCTCCAGAAAGATGTGCTCCTACAAAATCACAAAAACGTGTCTAAAGAAAAATATTCTATTCATAAACTGAATATATCTTTGATGCTCTCCACAGTTCTTCACAATTTCCCACAATTGAAAAATAGCTAGCAACACTTGTGTTATATTAGAATGAAACCTGCTTTAACTTAAAACAGGACCATAATCCTAACTCGACATGAATTAAGTAAACTTGCAAATACCAAATCCTAATCAATTTTCCTTCCTGAATTAGTATCCCGATGGTGTCAGTATGATCAAATGGAAAGCTTAAAAAGTCATGGCAAAAGATACTGCAGAATGATAAGAATTTCTCAAGGATTTAGTTCTTAGAAGAATTATCAAGAGAGCAAACAGAAGCATGACTTAAATTTTGTTTACTTTGCATGTATAGCTGAGCACAATTTATTCATTGCTTATCTAGAAGCACTTGAATTGTGTTACACTTACCTTGATGCATGGACAAATGGATTTAACTCCTTGAAAAGTTTCCACCACTTCAGCTCTCTGCCTCCAGTACTGGTGCTGTAATGATGTAAACAAATCTGATCTTAAACTTAATCAACCCCCGACAAAAAGGGAGATGAATAGGACAATTACATTACATATGTGTGATATGCTAGATGAAAATATTCATTTCCATATATATATTTTTCACTGAGTAAATCCCTGGGAGCCAGTGGTGAACAGTTCAAAACTCAGTGGATAATGGTTTTTATTTTCCCCTATAAGCACCAGGGAATGAGAGGGCATATTAACCTCAAGTCTGTAGAAGATAATGTGGTTTCTTCCAGCTCTTGTGCAAGTTCTTCTACTTCATCAATCTGGGGATACTCTGTATCTGAGATTTTAAAAAAAGTGACCAAATGTGTACATCAGACTACTTGCCTAAAGAAAGTAAGAAAATTCTGTTAAGCATTTAATTCTGCCAAAATAACAAAGTGAAGCTCAAAACTCATGAAATTAAACCTATTGGAGCTAAACATATCTACCAACTTCTTACTAGGACGAAATTTAGCTTAAAATAGTGAGATGAAAAGGCTGCATCGGATAAATGAAAATACTATTGATCTTCTCGATTAAAAAAAAAAAGCTGCCTCATTAAGGACTCTTACCGCCTGGGTATATTTCTTCTGCTTTTGATTCTTGAAGAGAGAATTCAATAGCACGGACCATATCCTCATTTTCATCTTCTGATAAGTGGTAACTCTGTAATCAAGTTTTTTCAAATGGATTTAACTGATAATAATCATATCAAATGATGATGATGATGATAATAATAATAACGAAAGAGATTGATAGAAGTGTGAAACACAAAACCATACCTCATAAGAAGGACCTTCATCCAGGTATCTATTTGAATACATTTTCGAGGTCAATCAATCCTCTGAGTTCAAACAAATATATCAATGCTACTGCAAAGCATGAAAATGCATTAATATTAATAAGAAATATCCATTGGTGGAGGAGAATATGTCAAAATTATAGAACTTTTAAAACATGGTTTTCCTGGAAATATATAAAATTTTAAAAATGGAGTATTCGGTTGGTTGTACTGACCAGGAAGAAAAAAACAAATATTCTGCTGGTTGAATATAAAGAAGTTGCAACTCAATATCAAGTGGTAGTTTCGTGCCCTGTTTCTTGTCCTTAGAAATAGTGTAATATTCATAATTAATTAATAATTTACGAAGACTTTGACAATGTCGTTAAGTCTTCATGAAAGTTTTTTTTTCCGAAAAGCTTTTACGAAATTAGTTAAGAAAGTGCTATTTCATATTTCTGATTTTATATTCCTCATTAATAGAAAAAGATCACACTTTTAAAGACTTCTTCAATAAAATATTGTATTGGCCTGCATGGACATGAGTTTTCTTTTCTTAAGAAATATTTTCAAAATGTTATTCGGTTTTTGTTATAATGATTTTTTGATTGGTTTTTGCAGATGGGTTTTTTTAATTTGAAAAACGGTTTTATCAAGTGAAATTTTATCCCACTCACAAAGTATCCAACTTTTTTCCCCAAGTGATATACAAGCACAAACACAACTTCAACTTTCAAATATTATCCAATTCATGTCTACTTATTAAAATCCTAATGAAAGAGCATAGAAACATGGCATAAAGTATTTAGCTTCGAAATTATTAGGACTAGTGGCAGACCTATGCTATGTATTATGGGTGCTTAAGCACCACTGCCTTTTGTGACAAACATTATTATCTATGTACAAAATTTAGTAATTTATTAAAATATATTATCTGATCACCCATTCTATGTAACAATTTCCGAACTAAAAATAATTAAGCACCAATGATTTAAAAAAATTGGATCTACCACTGACCAGGACTATACTTATTTGTGCAAGAAAACTAGCTAATACATTCTTATTCTTTTTACCTTAGTAACATTGTACCAATGCTGGTGTTTGGTTATACCATTTGAGATGATATTTCACTTGTTTAGTTTGTATAATTCTTATTAATTAATTTTTGCTATCCATTTACCGTCAAATTTGTTTTTTCTTGAAATAACTTAATAGATAATCTGTATTAATAGAATTCGACAAATAATCCAAGTTTTCGTCGAATAGCTTGTAGAGCCAAAAAGTCAATGTGATGTTGAAGAATCTAATGGAGAAATTGTGAAGGAATTTCCAGAAAGTAAAGGTCCCGTTAGTAGAAAAATGTGAGTTTGAGAAAAACAACAGCCAACAAATGGGAAAAAAAGCCTCGATTTTGGGTTGGCTGACCAATAAATAAATTGATAATGACAACATAAGGACTAAGGGAAAGACAAAAAAAAAAGAGCACTCCTCACTAATATAATGATAATGACAACTTAAAAGTAGATAAAAGAAAAATAAACAAAGATAAAAATAAAAAATAAAAAACTTTTGGTGTTTAGTTAGTAAATATAAAATATTCTTATGTAAAAATATATATTAAAAATTGGTAATAATGTTAGCAAATCAAAGATTGTTATGATTATTATTTTTAAGTGAAGATTAAAAGTAATATCCAAATATTATTCGAGCAAGTAATGTGATATTAAAAGTCAAGAAAGTTGTAAGAAAAATAAGTCACTATCCCTATGTACTATTTGTGTTACCCATGTAATTTCAGGGCCTCAATTTGGAGTCACAAAAGTAAAATTACAAAAAATTACAAGTTTTTCACAGAAATGTTTGTCCAAGAACCATCAATTTCATCCCAATGATGAATGAATTAACACAAAAATTAATAATGTCACCCGGAGAAGTAAGTCATTTAGGAGAATCTTAGTAGCTTAATTGGTTGACTACCTGAACTCTCACCTTGTTGGTGAGGGTTCGATAGTCATTCAGGTAACTTGCCCTTACGAGCTTATATGCTTTTGAGTGTGAACCTTAAACCATAACGTTCAACTGCCCATTTTGCTGAATTAAGTCATTCAGGTAACTTGCCCTTACGAGCTATATGCTCGAGTGTGTATATTAAACCATAACGTTCAACTGCCCATTTTGCTTCTCTAAATCCATGACCATATGCCTCAGAATATCTTCTCTCTATTCCATCTTTCATAAATTCTTTCAAATTTCTCAAGAACTGAGCTTTTTCACTTGTACCCTTCATGTAGTCATTGCCGGTGAAAGATTGCCATTCTAGCCACTTGTGAGCCATAACCTGAGAAAGACCTTCTGCAATGTTTAGGGCCAGTCCTCTATAGCCTATAAATATGAGAGGAAATGTTTTAGTTGGATTAGAGTGATATACACTGATACTCTAAATTATTATTTTAACTTATATCTAGCGTTGTAGGTCAACTTAATTTGATGGTGTTTAAAATCTCTATACATTTTTAGTAAAGTGTATAAAGGTCAAATTCTTTTTACTTTGAACAAGAAAAAAGCAACATGCATCAATAGTAAAAAGCTGGAAACCACCTTGAACGCGCATCCAAGCATGCATCAGTTCATGAGCCAAAGTTGATCCGATGGCCAACCTGTTTACAGAGAGCATTGACGCATACATAAACTGTAAGTGGGGAACTTGTTACACATTCTTTTAAAACTGGAATGCAAATTAAAGAGAATTCTCAACTTCCATCTAAGTCAAGAAAATCAGACCACTAATGGTAGAATATGGACAGCACACAACATCTGCAACCCCCACTCATCACCATTCAATATTTCCTTAATGTCTCAATTTAGGTGACTCGTGGGAAGAGTAACCAATCCTTGGAGAAAAACAATAGCTGGAAACGGTGGTTAGTTATGCAGATTTTTCTCTGTGAATCAGGAAATATTCAGTCTTTAATGCTAAATGATTAAGATTTCTCCTTCATGGTGATACTAAGTATTCTATAACTAGATAAATAGAATGACATATATTTTCCAATTTACTTCATAAAAATTACTAAATGAAAATTGTTTGGAGTTCTATAACGAAATCCATCAGAAGAACAACTTATGTGAAAGTATAGAAGTTTAGAAGAAGCTTACTTTGGAAAGCCGTATAAAAGCAGCACTGCTCTCACTTTGCGTCCTGGAGGCAGTTGTTCTACTTCTTTCACCACTTCAACATTTTCACCCCTTTGTATTGATTTTGAAACCTAGCGTAAGTGAATTTAATGCAAAATGAGAGAGTAGATCATTGTGTAAGGAGGTGGATGCAATATATAATAATCTGAACTCATTAAGCTTAAATTTTTTATCCACCAGACTGGGAACCATAAAAATGTATAAATTGGTACATTATATTGCAGAAGATATCAACCCATCTAACAGAAATCTATAATAGAAACAGATATACTCACATAATTTACCGCGTCCAGTTCAAATTTCTCATAAATCGTCGAGCCAAGTATGCTCTATGAAATCAACGAAAAGCTATCACTACAACAAATATGAAAGTAAAAATAAATTCACCTTGCCAATGTTGGCACATGTTCTACACACCTTTTTATGGATTCTGATTATCTCTTCTTGGTCAACTAGCAGAATTGGAATGTAATATCTGATTTTCATGTTTAATCCTTTGAAAAATCTGTGAACTTCGTCAAGAAGGGGCTTACAGTCTTCAGGATCCATCACTGCTGTATAACGACAATCAGGGCAAAGTTGTCGACCATCACTCAGAGTGATATACTTCACGTCTCCTATCTGCAAACAGGTGAGTAAGTTCTCAGTTATCATGTTATAAGTTGAGCAACTGTAAGAAATTTAAAGGATTAACTTGACATCTATTATTGAGAGGTCAGTATTCAGCCCAGTTTTTGAAACATGCTAGGGGCTATACTGAACTAATTACTTAATATCACCTCATTTCCTGTCTGTTGATCCATTACTTCATTTTATTACTGACCATAGATTCAACAGGAACATCTTCAACCGAATAATAAATAAATATATATATATATATATATATATATAAGGTGTTTACAAACCTTAAATCTAGAACAGGCACAGCAGCAGGGAGTTCCATCTGATATATGCTTTTTACAGACAGTCTGGCCCCAGTAGGCACACCTTAACCACTCCGAGCTAATCTGTACCAAGACTTATGATGTTAAAAGGTAATAATCAAACATAATAGAAGCATCAGTTAACTCATTCAGATATTTTGTAATCAGCTTCACAGTTTACAAGGATAAACTAAGGACTGATTACAAAGTGCAAAAAGGGAAACAGATTTGAGAAAAAGGAACACATACTTGTTCCTCGCATACATCACAAACAAGAGTATTGCACCGCTTTCTACTCTTTCTCCACCAAGAAGTGCCCCTACAAAATCACAAAAAGCATACCAATGCCAATTAGATTAAATGGAATGCAAGAAGAAAGTAGCAAGCTAAAAGATACTTCAGAATGACATAATGGTATTGAAACCTGGAAAGAAAAAGATAGTAATAGAGTGAATTAATCATTAACTGCTTTTACTTTCTCATACTACTGCTTGCTAGTATTTCTAAAATTGAAAAACAACCTTCTCAAGGATTTAGTTATTAGGAGAATTAGTTTTGATATGTAGAAAATTAGCTTTATCAACAAATAGAAGTGTGGTTTTGTTCTCTTCACATAGATAATTAAGACCTAATTATAAATACTTCTGTACTAACGTACACTTGAATTGTGTTGCACTTACTTTGATGTATGGACAGATGGATTAAACTCCTTGAATAGTTTCCACCATTTCAGTTCGCTGCCTTCAGTGCTAGTGCTGTAATGACGTAAAGCTTAAGTAAACAGATATCTGATCTTAAACATAATCAGCTTGCAGACAAAGGGAGGTAAATAAGATGTAAGAAATAGAGTAACTATGTACAAAGATAAATTACTATACGAAGCAGTAATTCTAGTTTTTAACCTTGTTAAAAAAGATGAACTACTGTATAAAACAGTAATTCTTTTTCGTTGCATGTGCTCATAGAGGGGACATGATCCTCCAGCAATCTAAAGGAAACTAGACAATATATCATGAACTTGATGGAATATTGCATATTTTCAGCAGGTTGAAGTATCCGTTTTGCTAATAATACTGACTTTGAATCAGCATTCTTTTCAGTAGACAAACACTGGAAAACATCTTCCGTAAACTAGGTCAGTTCACTGAAAATATTTCCCGGAAAATGGCTTCCTTCATACCAAAGACAACTTAAAAAAATAAATTTGCAGTGACAGATATACATTCAAATCTTGATCACTACCTTGATTAGACTTAACATCTTCACAGGCTCATTATTGGAGCAGCTAAGGAGTAGCACAGTGATTGATGAAGAGTAAAATTCATGCAATGGTCTCATTATTTTCTAAATTTTGTCGAAACTATGTCAGATATCCAAGTCTATGTGAAGCCTAACCTTCTCCGAATATGGAAATATTCATTTCTCATTATAACGATAAGTCTAACTAATATGAAGGAATTTTGTAAGGGAATGAGAATTTTGATACCACAGGCCATATTTACCTCAATTCTGCATAAGATAATGTGCTTTCTTCCAGCACTTGTGCAAGTATTTCTACTTCATCATTCTGGTGAAACTCCAAATCTGACAATAAATGACCAAATCTATATATGAGACTACTGGCAAAATAACCCAGTGAAGCTCCAAAATCTTGAAAATTATTGGCTAGAGGTGAAAATACAAACTTCTTACTAGGACAACATTAAGCTTAAAAAGGTGAGATGAAAAGGCAACATTACTAATGACCCTTGCTGGCTTACTACCTATATATATGTCTTTTCCCTTTGATTCTTGAAGAGAGAGTTCAATAGCACGAACCACGTCCTCATCCTCGTCTTCTGAGAATTGATCCTGAATTCAAGTTCTACAAATGGATTAATTGTGTGTTAAGGAAATGAATTGGCAAAAACTTTAAAATCTCAGTTTTCTTTACAACTTCTCAAGAAAAAGTGACAAATGTCCCCTTGATATAGAAAATCATGAGAAAATCGATCTCATCAAGTACTCGTGTGAATGAATAGTTGCTTCTTAAAGGCTAAAGAACAGATTTTTAATCAGATCTTGATGTAGCTAAAACCACATGGCAAAAATAATAAATGGTCCCTAAGCTTAGTTGTGTCAGATAATTAACATGTTGGTGAATCAAAAGAAAATTTGATTTGAACTTGGAACTTAAGCTAATCTATATTCAAGGGATAAAAAAATTATTTATATACATAAAAAAAATACCTTATAAACCCTCTAAATCTGCCCCTGACTACCAGTTTAAATTGCAAGATATGTAACACTCACGAAGATTAAAGCTAGTATATATGGACTTACAATCATTTTTTTCTTACTAGCCTAGTAATTGACATTAAGAAGCAGTTATCAAATACAGTAGCAATAAAACCTGGTAAGAAGGACCTTCAAGCATGAATCTATTTGCAGACATTTTTCAAGATCAAAAAATTATACTGCTGCAAAACATGAACATATATTAATACTAAGAAATATCCATGGTGGAGAAAATGGAAAATACAAAGCACTGGACATAGAAGCTATGATCACTAACCAGAGCACACGACCCCAAACTTCAAACGGCATAGGCTATTGTTTGAATCATAAGTTAGAAACACAACAAATTAACAGGGATATTAAAACATGGTTTACCTAGAAATAATTTATTTAATGAATATTCGGTTGGTGGCACTTACCAGAAAACAACAAAGATTGGGGTACACAAAAAAAAGTTGCAACTAAACTGATCAAGTGCTCTGTTTCTGGTCTGCAGAAACATTATAATATACTAACAATTGATAAATCATTTTCCTAGACTTTTGACTCTGTAGTCAAGTCTTCGGAAACTTAACTGATCAGTAAGTAAAACAATTGGAATCCAGCAAATAAACCAAGCTAAGTCCAAGAAAATTAATCAAATCCTGGTCTATACAGCTGATAACATCAACTAAATCCGCAAGTGTGGCATCCTTATTTCCCCTGATCGGAATAAGTCCCTACTCATTACATTTGCAGAAGATCGAATATGGTTGCATCAAATTTCTGAATATATAAAGCTTTTCTTCTTTTAAAAAAAAAAAGAAGGTAAGAAATATAAAATTTAAATAAAATAGTCAATTTGCAAAGGGCATTTTTTTCCTAATAAAAACAAAATCGGCTTAAATATTGATGCAACCATATTAGATCAGTCACACTAATATATACTCCCTCCGTCCCATTTTATGTGGCACCATTTCCTTTTTGGTCAGTCCCAAAAAGAATGTCACATTTCCTTATATGGTAAGTTTATAAAGGTACAATTCCTCTTTTATCCTTGTTGGTCCCACTTAATCTTAAAATAATACTCCAATACATTTATGAGGAGAGAGAAAAAAGAGTCTACTTTTTAAAGGACAATTTGGTAAACATTTCAAAGTCTTCATTTATTTCTTAAACTCCGTGTCCGGTCAAATGTTGCCACATAAAATGGGACGGAGGGAGTAATTTAAACCATAACTTTTAAAAGTAATTTTAAAAAAAAAAAAATTGTGTCAAATCAAATAAGTTAGGAAAAAAAGATAATACAAACCTTGTTAATTTTTTTAAAAAAATTAGCTCATATCTTTAAATTTTGATTCCGCCACATTTGAAAGGTAATCCCTCCATCTCTTTTTACTTGTCAATTTTGACTTGTCTCATCTATTAAAAAAGTAATATTTGATATAATGAATTTACCATTTTATCTTTGTTAAATAATAGTCTTTGAAACAGAGTATAACTTAAGACTTAAGGGGTTGTTTGGTGTGAACTGTGAATGATAATACCAAATAGTCATGAGATTAAATTATAGTATCACTTTATTGATGTTTGGTTGGTACGTTTTGGATAACTTATTCGAATTTAATAATTAGTATCGGGATAAGTTATCTCTCCCCTTGGGTGTTATAGTAATCTCGGAATAAAATAAGTAAATGATAAAAATGTCTCTTTAAACCTTTTTTTATACATTACTTGTTACATTCATGAAGGACATTTTTGTAAACAAATAAATTGTTCTTAAAATTTATTATATCGGTGGCCCCTAAAGTTGACACTAATTTTCACTTAGACATTCCAACTAGACTTTGTTCACTTTAGACACCTCATATCATGTCCCGCTGTGTTATTTTGACATTTTTTATTGACATAACATAGTGAGTGTGATACATTCCTTACCAGCACGTAGAGAGCTTATATTTAACCTATTTTTATTTTATTTTTTTCCTCTTCTTCCACATTTTAGCCACCATTTTTCAAAACTTAAACTCATTCCACGGAGAAAGAAATCTAATAGTACTACAACACGAAGAGATTTCAAGCTTAAATAACTTTTCTTATTTTATTGTCATTCTTCCTCCTTGAAATGTTTTGAAAAAAAATGAAATATATTTTTATAAAAGAAAATCTAGGAAATTCTTTTAATAGAGAACTCTTTGTTTAGATTTGAAGAATTTAGTTTTATTTGAAGTTATAAGTAAGACGAATTAGTTTTTGCAAAGAAATTGTGCTTTTGTAAAATAATTCTTTCTAATAGTTAAATTATATGAAAATATATTGGAGAAAGACAATCTGGATTGGGGAGAGGTTGGGGGGTGGGAGGTGGCAGAGAAGATGATTTGAGTGTGGGAGGGGTAGGTGTTGTGGATTGTGGAGAAGACAATCTGGTGGGGGAGGGGTTGAGGATCAGGGGTAGGGGTGGTGGAGAAGACAACAAGACGGGCTTGTAAGTGGTTAATTTTTTTTAAAATTATTTGGATAAAAATTGCCACTTGTCATTAAGTCATTGGCCTTTGAGCAACTTTCACATATAGTAAACACAAAATTCATATTTGTATGCTATAGCAAAGTTTGCATAATTGCGTTCCATAACAAACATAAATATGTATATTTCGCTATACATATACAAAAGAAAGCAATTGTATAATCTGCTTTGGTATACATATACAAAAAGATCAATTGTATAAAGTGAGAGAGGCGAGTGAGCGAGCGAGATCTGGGAGAGTGGCGAGCGAGATCTGGAAGAGGGGAGAGAGGGGAACGAAAATATATGTATATATACAATTTTCACGTATTTTATACATTTGTGTTTTTGTATAAAGTGAGAGAGGCGAGATCTGGGAGAGGGGAGAGAGGAGAACGAAAATATATGTATATATACAATTTTCTCTCGCTTTATACAAACACAAACGCATTTTATACAATTTGCGTTTTTTGTATAAAATGAGAGAGGCGAGTGAGAGAGCGAGATCTGGGAGAGGGGAACGAAAATATATGTATATATACAGTTTTCTCGCGCTTTATACAAACACAAACGCACTTTATACACTTGCGTTTGTATAAAAAAACGAGAGAGGCGAGGGAGAGAACGAGAGTGGCGAGCGAGATTCACCAGGAGAGAGGTGAAATAGCAACAGTTTGCTATGAGGTACAATTAAATCAAACTATATTTATAACATTTAATTTGAATTAATAGTTTGCTATTATATACAATTTTCCCTTTTTTTAACTCAAAATTCATTATTTAAAAATTATTTTCAATATATATGCCATATGTCTTTGTTTAATTCGTCATTTTGACATATAATCGGCGAGTGTGTTACACACGTCTTACATAATTGATTGATTATAAAAAATGTGTCAAATTGACACACCAAAATATGACATGAGGTGTCTAAAATGAACTAAGCCTAATTGAAGTATCTAAGTGAAAATTAATGTCAACTTTAGGAGGTCACCAATGAATTAAACTTAATTAATATTATCATAGCTAATATCATCATAACTTGAATTCAAATCAAATCACTCCGTCGCTAGAATGAAAATACTGGTAATTTTTACTTTTCGAAATAGAGAAGTAGTAGGTGGGTTTCTTACACGTGATCAACAATAGTCGAACGTTACCTACCCCGTAATTAATTAAACAAATCGCGAAATTACTTATTTACCCCTAAGCACGTTTACTACGCTTTCAATCCCGCTCAGCTACTACTTCATACATAATCCGAAGAGAATAAATGATGATCCAGTAAAAGGTGATAGAGCCATAGCCATACTACTAGTAGCCAAGTATTCCCAATTTCCCATTACGGTACTGCAGCAAAAAGTTTTTTGCTGGTAGATCAGTCGAAGATCTGCAATGGAGTCTTCACTACTGACATCACCGGCGGCAATTTCTCGTTTGGCAGCATCCAGAACTATCAATTGCAATTGCAGTCCTTTAATTTCTCAGTTCCACCGCCATTTTTCTACTAGGTCAACTCAGTTTGTACTGATGAGTCAACTCGCTCGGTTCCATCTTCGAGCTGTATGTAACGGTGAGGTTCGAGGTCTGAACCGGTTCGGGTCGGTTTCTCTGTCGAGAAGTTTGGCAGCGGCGAATTTACGCCCGGTTCGGAAGGACTTGCGGAGTGTTTCTGGTTCCGCAGCTTCTTTTGCAGCTAGTGGTGGAGGAAATGATAACCCCGGAGGTAATGGCGGCGGTGGCGGTGGCAACGGAGATGGTGCGACGGACGGTGGTAAGGAAAATCCTAGTGTTGTTGCTGAAACGGGTGAAGATATATCTGCTTTGTCCTCTGATGTCATTATCCTAGATGTTACCGTAAGTTACTCAGTTTTATTTCTCCACTTGCTCTATGGATAATGCAATATCTGTAGTTTCGGACCTTTGAATATTCCACAAATTTGTGTGCACATTTTTAGGGAATGACATGCGGTGGCTGTGCATCGAGCGTGAAGAGAATTTTAGAAAGTCAAGTAAGTATTCAATGGTACTTCCAACTCATGTTCTTCTCTTCAATTAAGCATCTCATGTTTATGCTGATTGCCAAAATATACAGCAGTAGACTCATTACAAGGTTTCTATTAGGAACTGAAGGCGAAGCTATTTCTCTTCTTATGTTGAACTTTTGATTCTGTAAATCATAAGAAAATTGTTAACTGTATCAACATGATTATTAACTCTCAGTCGCGAAGGGGAAAGCTAAAATATACCGTAATCTTACTTGGCCTGGATTGTTTAATGTTTCCAACAGTGGATGTATCCACATCAGTAGACTCAAACTCTCTCTATATATTGTTTAAATAAAATTCCTACACACACATTCTTACAAATCAAATCCGTATGCATTTTAACAAAGGAGTGGTGGGTATTGTGGTTAGAAGTCTGAATAGGCCTCTGATTCGGATCACATTGAAACATTCCTAGACAGTTGGATTCTTTAGTCGAAGACACGATTAGCTATCATAAGCCCAGAATATATTCTCTTCATGTGGAGATTCACTAGTAGTTTAGAGTGGAAAAGAAACTACCCTGAGAACTGTACAATTCTCTATGATTTTTTGGCTGTGCATAAATTACATAATTTACAGAATTGGGTTTATTTATATATTTAACTAGCCTTTTCTTCTATTACTTGTATTCCTAGTGCACATGCTTTTTGTC